TGCATCGGTAACTTTCTGCGCATGCTGCCCTCCATTTTTTTTTTCTCGCTCTTGGTTTGAACATTTTTCTCCTAGATCGCCAAAGACGAGATCGGATGTGAACTTCCCCCTCCATCCGAGTACGCCGTCGGCATGTTTTTTCTTCCCACTTCCGAGACGAGGCGGATGGAAAGCAAAAACGTGTTTAACAAGGTGATGTCTTTTGCTGACTTTCTCTTTCGCTTTTGGATTTTTATATTTGTGTTCGTACTACTACAGGTCGCAGAGTCTCTTGGACACACGGTTCTTGGCTGGCGAAGTGTTGTGACCGACAACTCGGATCTGGGGAAATCGGCTCTTGGGACTGAGCCCGTTGTGGAGCAAGTGTTTTTGACGGGCAGCTCCAGGTCGTCCGCCAGCTTAGAACAGCAGGTACTTGTCTCTACTCTCTTCCTGTGCTTAACCGAAATGATAAATCTGGTTAGATTGAGTTCTTTATGCTGATGGGTCCATTCCAACTTTATTCCCTGGTCTGTCATGAATAACCTACTGCTTCCAAGTCACATTCCTCTCTTCTACCCGGTTTGCAGGGATGTGTTCCTTTATGCCACAGGCTTCCATTCTATTCTTCGAGTTCGAATGGAGGTGATCATAACACTACAGGCAGTTTGTGATCTTGACAATTATTTTTTCTCATCGGTCGCACTGACACTTTAATATGTGCCGCAGATGTATATTTTGCGCAAGCTGTCCATGGTTGCCATTCGAGCTGCTCTTAATCTCCAGCATGGTGCTGTTCGTGATTTCTACATCTGTTCCCTTTCATCGAGAACTGTTGTTTACAAGGGGCAGCTCAAACCAGACCAGCTCAAGAAATACTACGCGTCCGATCTTTGTCACGAAAAATTTACAAGCTATATGGCTTTGGTGAGCACATCAATTTCCTTCGTATTCATCTAAGTCGCGTTGTAATTGTAGGTGCATTCAAGATTTTCAACAAACACATTTCCTAGCTGGGATCGGGCGCAGCCAATGAGAGTTCTTGGTCACAATGGGGAAATCAATACTCTTCGAGGAAATGTCAATTGGTAATAATCTTGCGAATTTAGAAACACCAGTAACCCCAGAGTGCAGGATGCGAGCTCGGGAAGGCCTTTTGAAATGCAGAGCGCTTGGCCTTTCAAATGACGAACTCCAGAAACTTCTTCCTATTGTTGACGCTAGCTCCTCCGACTCTGGTGAGTGAACGAACGTATTTTGAGGGATTTTAATGGTGTTGTTGCAGGTTCATTTGATGGTGTGTTAGAGTTTCTTGTACGCTCTGGTCGAAGTCTTCCGGAGGCAATGATGATGATGATACCGGAAGCATGGCAGAATGACAAGAATATGGATCCAGAAAGAAGAGCTCTGTACGAGTATTTTTCTGCTTTGATGGAACCTTGGGATGGACCTGCGCTTATTGCTTGTAAGTGCTAATCCTGTTGGTTGTAGAGCGCTTTTAATTGTTTGTCGAATTTCTCCCAGTCTCGGACGGTCGTTATCTTGGTGCAACTCTGGATCGAAATGGACTTCGACCGGGGCGTTACTACATCACTCATAGTGGCCGCGTGATCATGGGCAGTGAGGTCGGCGTAGTCGATGTGCCACCCCAGGATGTAAGCAAAAAAGGTCGCTTAAATCCGGGTATGATGCTTCTCGTGGATTTTGAGAACCATGCCGTTGTGGACGACGACGCCCTTAAGAAAGAGTATTCTACTCGTCAACCATATGCTGAGTGGCTCCAACATCAGAAAATTTTGCTCAAGGACATCGTCGACTCTGTTTCAGAAGACTGCACATCTCCACGAATTATTGGAACTCTGCAGGTAATTTCCCTCCCTGATTTCTTTCTTTTTTGTTTTCATTGTGCCTGGTTCTTATGGAGGATTTCCAGCCTAAAAAGACGGATGCAACGAGGGACAACATGGGGATTCATGGATTGGTACCGCCGCTCAAAGCTTTTGGGTATACTTCTCTCCATTTTTTTTCTTATGTTTGGTTGCTCTTGTAAGGTCTATTAGGAAGTTAAATCCTCAGCACGTCACTGCAAATACAGTAACAAGTGCCAAAGGCTGTTCAAGACATTTGGTATCAGAGTCCTAGCCGGTCTGGTCTCCATCACCTTCACTGATGGTTTTATACCTTTGTGTAGGTACACTGTTGAAGCGCTCGAGATGCTGTTACTTCCAATGGCCAAAGATGGTGTGGAGGCCCTTGGCTCGATGGGAAATGACGCACCGTTGGCCGTTATGACCGATCGGCCAAAGCTCAGCTTCGAGTACTTCAAGCAGATGTTTGCTCAAGTTACAAATCCGCCGATAGATCCTATCCGTGAAGCTATCGTCACATCGACAGAGTGCATGATCGGACCGGAGGGTGATTTGACGGAGTCGACAGAAGAGCAATGCCACCGGCTCTCTCTGAAGGGACCGCTCATATCACCTTTGGAAATGGAAGCGCTGAAGAAGATGAACTACCAGGGTTGGCGGAGCAAAATAATTGACATCACGTTTCCACGAGAGGAAGGACCTACTGGTCTGGAGAAAGCTCTGGACAGAATATGTGTGGAAGCCAGGAAAGCCATATCGAAGGGGTTCAAAATGCTGGTTCTTTCGGACAGAGGTATTTTTTATCATACACTTTTCAGCTTCAGATCACTTATATACTGCTCATGAATCAGGAACCTCTCCTGAACGAGTTCCAGTGAGCTCTTTATTGGCTGTTGGAACTGTTCATCACCATCTCGTCTCAACTCTTGAGCGTACGCGCATTGGTTTAGTGGTGGAATCTGGTGAGCCTAGGGAGGTACATCACTTCTGCACACTCCTGGGATTTGGAGCAGACGCGATATGTCCCTACCTGGCCGTCGAAGCTATCTGGAGGTTACAGGTAGATGGCAAAATACCATCTAAGGAGAATGGAGTCCTAAGTTCTAAAGACGAGCTGGTCCAGAAGTACTTCAAAGCTTCGAATTCGGGTATTCTCAAGGTCCTTGCCAAGATGGGCATTTCAACTTTGGCATCGTATAAAGGAGCTCAAATCTTCGAAGCCCTTGGCCTCTCTTCGGACGTAGTGCAGAGGTGCTTCAGAGGTACACCAAGCAGGGTGGAGGGTGCTACATTTGAGATGCTTGCAAAGGATTCGCTTCGACTGCATGAGCTGGCGTTTCCCTCTCGCAAGCTGCCACCGGGAAGTGCTGAAGCTCATGCTCTGCCAAATCCCGGAGACTATCACTGGAGGAAAGATGGCGAGATTCATCTGAATGACCCGCTAGCGATGGCAAAGTTACAGGAAGCTGCTCGGACTAACAGCGTTGGAGCCTACAAGGACTACTCGAAGCGGATTTACGAGCTGAACAAAAAATGCAGCCTGCGTGGGATGTTGAAGTTCAAAGCTTCCAAAACTCCGGTTGCATTAGAGGAGGTG